TTGGGTCTTCTTACAAGTTACCCCCCCCCCCCCCCCTCCCCACTTACACTTACACTTAGTCCGATCATTCTTCCTTCCCACTCCCTTCACTTCCTCCCAATTACCCCCTCCCCTACCCACATTTACCGCACCATGCCCCCCCCCCCCGGCAAACAAAAACTATTAAGGGCACGCAAATTGAGGGCCCAAATTAAGGGCCCTCAACCGAAATTATAATCGATTATAATGTTAATGCACGGGCGGATCTAGGATTTTCTCGAGGAGGGCGGGGGGGAAAGTTCTCGAGGAGGGCGGGGGGGGGGGGAAAGTTCTCTAGCTTTTCTCCCATTTTTTTTGAAGAAAAGCTAGAGAATATATGTACAATGTCGTCGCCGAATATATGTTGGTAGCCGTCATGGTATACCAGTCCATTTTTTTGAAGAAAAAGCTCGTCACGACTTTCTTGTGGTCTTCCAATTTATCATAGTTTGAGGTGGTGGCCGTATGAGGCGGATGGTACGATGATTCTATTGAACAATTTAGTGGCAGAAGTTAAGTTTGTTTTCCTCAGGTCGGCTATTGTGTCCAGTGTGTTTGTAGCTATTGTGGCTTTTGATCTCAAGTGGGTTAGATGTCTCAGAGGACTGAGATTGGACATTAGTATTACTCCAAGATAATTGAATTTGTTTAAGAACTCAATTGTGTTGCCGTCGTACTCACGTTTTTGTAGGGTCTTATTTATGATGTTAGTGTCGCTGCTGCCTATGGCGAGGTCGTCGGCATAAAAAAATGAGTTCGGCTTCGCAGCTTGTGAGCATGCAGTTTAGATAGTGAGAATAGTAGGGGTGAAAGTTTCTCCCCTTCCACTAGTCCGATGTTTTGTGTTATTCGTTCTTGCAGGGAACCTCTGTTTAATTTGATCGTGTTCGCCATTTTCTTTTTGTATAACTTTTCAAGAAATTTAACGGAAATTGCTAGGCTAATTTTTGGTCTACTGAGTCGAATGCTTTTTTGTAATCGACGAAACATGCATAGTATAAACTGTTTTCTTAAGGCATTCTTCTGAGAGGCCATCTAAACCGGTGGCTTTTTTAATTTTGACATTTTGGAAGGCTTTTTCTATTTCGTAGTCAATTATGTCAGCGTCTATGTAGACGGAGTAGTTTCCGATTTTGGTTGTTATTGTTATATAATCGTGATATAATATAATAGGTTATTTAGGGTCCAGTGTACTTGTTCTAGACATAAGAGATTTTCAAAAGGGTTTTGCAGTTCAAAAGTATTTACCTGACAAATATTTATTTTCCGTTTTTTTTGTATTAAGTTTTTCCCAGAATTTTCTCTGGTCAGTCTCTGCTGTATTCATTAATTCCACCTATTTTGGTTGTTCGTATTGACGTTTTTCCTTACTAGTTAATGAGTGCGGCGTGGTCGAATTTTCTTATAGCATGCGAGACTTTTTCTTTTCTCGATGGGTTGCAGATGTGGTTAGTTTGAATGTGTTTGTGTTCATTGATGTTTTTTATATGATTTTTAGGTCTATGGGGATATTACTGAAGCACAGATTGATTGTGCTGTTGCCTCGCTTGCAGCTGTATGTAAATTTTTGTGGGTTCTTCAGGCAATAACGATCGTTTTGTTTCATTAGCTACAATAGCTTGTGTTCTGGTAGATTCAATATCCAGGCGAAAGTTTAGGTCTCGGCAAAAATTGTTTCGTTGACTACATTTGAGTGCTTGAGGGTTGTTGAAGTTTCGCTTAATATATCCTCTATTTCACTCTTTGTTGGGAAGTATCCTACCATAAATGTTACTTTTGTCGGGTCAAGGGATATGATTATGATTCTTTGAATTTAGTAGTTTTGTAAGGCACGGTTCGCTAGACTTTAGTTAAATGCAATAGTGATTTCACGAGCAGGACTCCTTTATTCCATTTATTTGCCGGTGAGTTGGTGCATATAAAGTTTGGAATTGTAGTTTTTTGGAGCTCATTGTTTCTGTTAGCAGAAGAATGTCATATTGTTTAATGTGGTCTGTGAGTTTGGTAGTTTATCTGGTTCCTCTGATGTTCCCCAAGAGAAGCGATAGGCTTTTGGGTTGATCATTTAGTCAAGCTTGATTATTTATTTTCGTTGAGATGGTTTTCCCTTTGCTAATGAAGTGATTCCTTTCCGGTTCCTTTTGTCGTCTTTCTTTGAGCGCAGTTCTCAGCTGAAAATAATTCTGCTGTTGTTCTTTGATAAAAGCTGGGTTGATGACAACATTTTCTTATTTGTTCGTGTTCCGCAATTATTTGGCATTTCAGGTTTTTTTGATTTGTGGCTTTAAACTTGACTGGAATCAGTTTATCAGGGTTGGCAAAATGTAAGTTAAAAACAAAAATAACAAACTAACTGTTATTTATCGAAAAAACATGTTATTTTTGTTAAATTGTTAATTAAATTAACATATCAACAAGAGTTGAGTTTCTTGAACAGAAACGCCAACTTTCCGGCTTTCTCAACGCCGAGTTGAGCACGAAGCTTCCCATACGTCAGGTGAGATTTTTCGCTCTGTAGTTTGTCAAGTGAAACTGCAATTGGTTTGAAATTTTTTTTTCATCCGTTCGGGATTCGCTACAATCGCTTCGGAACAAACATACAGCATAGTTGCGTTGTGTTTTTCTAAGAATTACTCATATTTCTAAGAAATAGCTAACATCACTTTTAGAAATTATAAATAACACTGTAAGTTAAATTCAATGTTAAATAACAATGTTAAATAACATGCCAACCCTGCAGTTTATTGTTCTTTCTGCCACTGAAGGGTATCATTGATTTGATGTGCTCCTCATTGAAGTTTGTGTCTAGAGTCTTGCTTATCTCGACGACGTCGGATTTAACCTGGGGACTATTTGAGACAGCTGAAATCACGTTCCCTTTTGCATTTTTAAACTTCGATACCTTTGAGAATATTTGAATATATCAGTTTTTTCGATTCTTTTTTGCTGGGAATTCTTCGATACGCTGATGTATTTTCATGTTTACCTCTTCGATGCTGTTGACTTTTTGCTTTTTTCCTCCTTGGCCGGGTTGTCTCATAGTTTGGTGACCTGTTCTTCGAGCTTTTTGAGTGTTTGTACGACCAAAATCAACTGGGTATAGGTCCAATCTGCGTGGAAACCGCACATGAATGGCTTTTTCTGGCTGATTTGCAGTAGGTTATTTGTTATCCACACTAATGATCAGATTCAGCATTTTGTGCATTGTTTGTATGTATTGATGTTCTTCTTTATTCGGGTGGTTCGCAGTTTCCTTTCTCTTTCCGGGAATCTGATTTGTGCTCGATGAGGTTGTTTGACTCATTTTTTATAGAAGCCAGGTGACTCCTCGTAAGGAGCCTTTTGGTTTATTATATAGGGGGGTTGTAAAAATTTTACTTTATAGGTTACCACTCGTAGATATGAAGGTGGTCCTGACGTTCAAGCGCAAGGGAGTATTGATCGCAGAAGATTTTGTCTTCAATATAGTTCTTATTTGACTGATTTATTCTTCTTTGAGGTGTACGTTGTTGCGATCCGAGATGTGCAATGCGGCGTAAACGTGTTCGGATAATCCACGAAAGTTCCAGCGAGCGTTTTTTGATTCTTTTTCTAGTCTTCGGTTTACCGCTATATGACGAATAAGTTCTTAATCCTGTATATTCTCTTTTTCGGCTTCGAAAGGAGTTCGTGGTGGGACACCAATGACAAATAATTTTGTATCAACATAACAAACTATCAGCAAGGCTCACGATTTTAGCTGTTAAGGCTCTTTTTCCTCCTCCCCCCCCCCCCAAATATGCTTGTTATGGCCTAATTAGTCTGCATCCCAATTTTCACAACAATCGGACAAAGTGAACGGCAACTTCAAATATAAAAACTTGCAGGTGGGGGGGGGGGGGGGGAAGGAAAAAGAGCCGAAGAGCCGCTGTTAATTTCTGAGATGAGGCTACAGAAGGTTTATCCATTTTACAGTTCGTTCTCTCATAAATAACACGATAACACGGAAAACATTAAAAATTAATAAACAACTGTTTTATACTTTGTTTTAAAATGTGTTTTTTTTGCCTTTGAAACACTCCCAACCCTGAGGGGAGATTGCCGAAAAAGCCATTATTTGGTCGAAACTTTATAAATTGCCTTGAAACGGTACTTAGTCCCAAAAAGTGCTCGGGCAGTTGAAATTTCGCCAACCGGAATTCGGTCTTAGTGTTTAAGAAGAATAGTTTATTAGGAGAGAGTTAGAGCTTGGAAAACCTTTAGAACTGAAGCTGCTCGAAGGTTAAGCGTTTAAGCGAGAGCAACAATAGCTTCAAATTCAGTTCTTCAGTTAGTCGAAAAAATAACTAATAGGCGAAATCCGGCGTCTACTACAGAGCAAATGAAAACATGTTCGAAGATTGTATGGTTGACTTGTTAACCTAAGCACCATTTCAGGGGGAGATTGTTCACATGGGCCGCTCTTTGCTGCATAGCCGATCTAGACACCCAGATAATCATAATTCTTATGTGTCCTAAAGTAGAAGTTTTAACGCTGTCTAAAATTTTAAAACACTCTTATAGAAGTTTTAACGCTGTCTAATTTGCATTGAAGTCTTCTTCGAGTGTCTAATTCAGCATTCGTTGGTGGCTTTGTGGTAATCTTGTTGGTAATATGGTATAAAATGGTTACGTAACACCATAATATTGCTGAGTTGCGCGTAACAAAGTCGCTGTGTTTTGTAACGATTACGTAATACGCGCATAACAGCGCATAATACACGTGTATATTATATAATAGCTGAAGGGAATTCCCCGAGTTACGTAACGCGCATGTCAACTTGTATTTTATTTTATGAATAATTTGCAATGAAAAACAGTCAGTAGAAAGAAAGAAATAAATAAAGCAAAAGAATTTGAATTTAGTCGCACAGAGAAACAATTTGTCTTTTGTGTCATTTTATTTTTCTAAGGTCAAAGACTTTTTATCTAGCGTGTTAAATATACTGTTCATTCTGTTTTAGATTATAACAGTTACCTCAAAAACCTTCTTGAAAAAAAAAAATTACCTTTGAACATCGCTATTATGAATTGCCGTGCTCCTGAAAAAGAAATTTTTACCCAAATTGCCGTCATTGGGAAAAAGTCGGGCAAACAAGTTGACCCAGACGATGAGTCACCTTCGCCGGAAACATGTTCAATATCAATGTCCTCTGACATTGTCCAGAGAGATCAATGGAACAATAAGACCGAATTCCTGTTCTCATGCATATCCTACAGCATTGGACTGGGAAATCTGTGGCGGTTTCCCTACAAGTGCTACGACAACGGGGGAGGCGCCTTCCTCGTGCCCTATATCATCTTCTTGCTAATAGCGGGCATGCCGCTGTACTTCCTGGAACTGTCTTTAGGACAGTTTGCCAGTCAAGGTCCCTTCGGTGTCTGGCACATGTCCAAGGCCTTTATCGGACTCGGCTACGCCATGATCGTCATATCATTCTTCTGCTCCATTTATTACAATGTGATTGTGGGTTGGATTGTTCATTACCTCTTCCATTCGATCAAAGCACTTGTTCTGAATCAACACTTGCCCTGGTACGACCCAATCTGCGACGATAGTAATCGGAAAATTGCCGCAAACCAAACATATGGTGACGATGACAACCTTACGTTAGAGTAAGTGAACACTTTGAGATCATTAGGAATGAAATATTTTCTGATGTGAAATAGATTGCTTATTTTTAATGTGAAGGAATTGAAAGTAAATATTTAGTGTTTTTAAAATACTTATGTGAAGCTTTTTCTTTTAAAATCTTTGGGTTTAGAACGTACTGCACGACAAAGGCGGAAGTGTACTGGAACACAAAAGTGTTGGACCAAACTCATAAGCTGGAGGACTTCCAAGGGTTTCAGTACGAGCTACTCGTCTCTTTCGTGGTGGCATGGGTGCTCGTTGCTCTCTTCCTTCTGAAGGGAGTGAAAGGCTCGGGCAAAATCACTTACTTCACCGCAATATTCCCGTACATTGTAATCGCAGTAATGTTGGTGCGAGGACTCACACTCCCGGGAGCTTTCGAGGGCCTCAAGTTCTACCTGGTGCCTGAATGGTCTAAGCTGAAAGATCCCGAAGTATGGAACACTGCCGCCAACCAAATCTTCTATTCACTCGGACTCGCGTTCGGCTCCTTGATCACGCTTGCAAGCTACTCGCCATTTGACAACAACGTCTTCCGAATGACCATGATTGTCACTACAGTGAACTGCTCAACTAGCATAATCGCGGGAGTCGTGATCTTTGCTGTCATTGGAAACTTGGCTCATGTCTCGGGAAAAGCGGTACAGGACGTGGTAACAAGCGGACCTGGGTTGGCTTTTGTTGTCTACCCAGATGCCGTCTCTCACATGCCTGGGGCTGCATTCTTCTCGTTTCTGTTTTTCTTCATGCTGCTAAATCTGGGATTCGGAAGCCAACTTGCTCTCGTGGAAACTGTGATCACTGCAGTCGTAGATCGGGTGCCCTCGCTGATGAAACGACGAGGCGTCGTGACGTTGTCGGTGTGCTTTGTGATGTTTGTTCTCGGGTTGCCGATGGTGACCAAATCTGGAATACACTGGCTCAATCTTCTGGACACTTACTCGTGTTCGCACAGTCTGTTCATCGTCTCCTTCATCGAAGTGATCGCTTTGGTGTATATCTACGGCGGGAAGAAACTGATTCTTCAAATCGAGGCGATGATTGGCCACAAACCGCCAGGAACCTACTGGTGGTTGTTCACGTGGGCATTTACTGCGCCAGTTGCTATGTTGATCATTTTCTTTTTCAATCTGTACCTCTATACCCCGATGAAGATCGCAGGACAAGACATTCCCCGTTGGGCCGAGGCTATTGGATGGGCTACTGCAATGACATCCGTCATTTTCATTCCAGTGTTCGCTATCAAGGAGTTTGTGCAAGCTAAGGGCAGTTTTATGCAGCGAATGGGTAAAATTATCCGACCCGACGACTTATACCGACCCAGCAGTAGTACAGATTTGAAAACTGTCAACGAACTTTTTGAGAAATACGATTATCCGAAGCTGGGAAGCAGTAGTACGACCTCGATATATCGCTCAACGACGTCTGACGATGACAAAATCCAGCTGGGCATGGCCGCGGGCGAGTCGTTAGAAGCTTAAAAAGCAAGTTGGCCACAAATTGTTGTCTTGTCTCAATTCAAATGGTGCTTTTATTGCCTTTTTTGGGCTTCAGCTAGTTGGAGTCTCAAAGAGTCAAACCACAAACAAATTCTTTTCAATTCATCAACTGCAATTCACAAACTCATCTGCTGCAAACTAACGGACGCGTTGCGAAGGCGAAGTCACTCAGCGATCAGACTAGAAGCACGGGTTGCCCACCCTTCTGACTTAACTCTATCGTTTAACAAAAAGATGGCTCATCTCCAAAACGAAAATATTAGATATTAGCTGCAAACTAATTGTATAAACTGCGTCCGAGCTGAACCTAAAAAGAAGCCAAAGCTGAGCTTGGTTTATGTTAAAAACTGGATACTTGAATAGCTGCTGATAAATTTTGAGTTTGATTACAAAAATTTAGATGTACAATTTAAATTATGTTTTTGTTAGTTGATGTTTTCTGAATGGAAATGTGTCAAAAATTGTATTTCTCCCATAAATATATTTTGTAGTACTACATGGAACATTACTGTGCAACCTGTTTATTTTTTTTTCTCGGAATTGATTCTTCAGCTTCTATATCCATTTTTGTTGCTTATCTGCTGAAGGATTAATCATCTTTTACTGATTTGCTTTACTTTTAATTGAAAATTTCCGTTACATATTTTCTGCAGCGATCTTGAAGTAAATCTTTTTCCGAGCCAGATAAGCACATTTGTCCGGGCAACGAAGTAAACATCTTAAATTTGAAACCGTTTCTACTGGATTAGCATGTCATGTCAAGGATTACTGACAACGACGATTACGTCTCAAATGGCGTAATTCCCAAATGGCATGAAAAAATTCCCAAATTGCATAAATTTCATGCAACAGTTGCATTAAAAAAAACTACATGAACTTTTTCGTGAACAATGTGCGAAAATTGGTCAAGTTGTCAATTCAAATGCTGATTGACATTTTATCTTGAAAAAATTGGAAAATCTAAAGCTAAAAGCATAAACTTGCTGTTATTGAGAAGCTTCTTGTGGTCAATTGTCGCTTAACATTTGTTTGGAGGCAATTGATTCCTAATTTAGTTCTCATGTTTTCGTTCCTGTTAGAAATCGAAGTTGATAAAAAACGGCCACAACGATCTACCTTGAAACCGAAGGTTTGTCACGGAACAGCTCAAAAAAGGAACAAATGCTTACGTAAATCTTATTTAAAATATTACATAACATCTTTTCGGGCAGAAATATTCCCAGTTTCCATGTGAAGTTATGTAGGATAAATTGCAGTACTGAAAATTTGGCTTTCTCTGATCAAAATCAAAATAAAACGTTCTGTGATTACAAACAGTTCTACTATAGCAAAATAGGAAATGTGGTGGCTAGTCAATAAACAGAATGGTCTAAGAGCAGAATGGGTCCAAGAGCAGAAAAATAGAAAAATATCGATTTCTATAAGCTAATCGGTAAATTAGTTATCAGAAACGTCAATAATAGCAAAGCAACGAACAGTTTATGCATAATTTGAGCAATTTAATCAAGAATCAAAAAAAATTTAATCTAAAAACTTAAATAATTCACCACGTATAATTAATTCGCGTGACGCTCTCAGCATTATGAATAATTTTTTAAAAGCGAGCATTATTTAGTCCAGAACATGGCCAATTTGGCAATTTTCAAACCTCCACAATTTTACAAAAAAAATCGGTATATTTGAACTCAGGAAGTCGATATCTTAATGAGGTATACATTTTTTGTTGAAAACTATTATTTCGATCGGCGAAAATTGACTGAATAAAAAAACCTCACCGAGCATAACTAATCCGTTTTTTTCGAAAGTCGGAACAAAAATCAAACAACACATTAAAAGTGTTGTTGACATGAAATAGTTGGTTTTGACAGCTCAATTTAAAATTTATAGCTTGATTACAGTTCTGCAATTTGATAATTTGAATCAATATCACAGCAACGATGACCATTTGCTGTGCAATTAGGTGTTACGTAGCAGGTTTTAGACAACCGCGTGTTCAGACCCGTCAGTAAGCAGACAAATACTATTAAACAATCAGAATCGAGACAGAAAAAGTGAGTAATTAATAATTTTTTGTTTTTTAAATTTGTTTTCTCATCTCGATTCTGATTGGTTAATACGGTATTTGTCTGCTTACTGACGAGCAGGAATACGCGGTTGCCTAAACACGGAGTGCGGCCAGTATTTAGACAGCCGCGTATTCATACTGGTCAGTATTTAGACAAATACTGTTTCAACCAATCAGAATCGAGAAAAAACATAAATAATCCAAAATAAATAATAATTATTTATTAATTTCTTCTTTGTCTCGATTCTGATTGGTTGAAACAGTATTTGTCTAAATACTGACCAGTATGAATACGCGGCTGTCTAAATACTGACATGTAACCCCTAAACACAGACCGCACTCCGCAATTAGGGGACCGTTTTACTTGCATGCGTGCCGCTTAGCAGGCTGCAATAGGTTGCCGCACATCAAGCCCACGGGACCTCAGGCCGAATCGTATAATTAACGACTTCAAGCCGAATCGTATAATTAAGGACTTCAAGCCGAACATTTTGTCAAAATATTATGAAATATGATTAATTTAAAAATTTATTTGAAGTACTTCTCAATTTCGTCAGCTTGCCTAACTAATTATTGGATTTTTCATAATTTTTGAGCCTTCAATAGATGTTCAGGAAAATTAAAATTTAAAACATTGTTGATGGGCTTTTTCATGTTTTTAACTTATGCATCTCAAAATCCGGCTGCCTTAACTATTTGACGCCACCCTTAAAAGGTGTATTGTTATAAAGAACGCTTATGATGAACTAAACTTGCCTAATTTTTTTTCAAAATAAACTTTAAATTTTGGCTTGAGGTCCCTTCGGCTTAAAATCTTGTCGGTTTTTTGTCCTAGTCCCGCTGCAAGGAGTCCAATTAAAATTCAAACTTAATTGAGCCCATTCGATTGCTTAGATCGAACTCAAAACGTTAAACAAATCAGATTACAGCATACAAAGAGACTACAAGTTAAAAAAAATGAAAGCAATAATAACAAAGACCGTTTAAAAAAACTCAATCATTTCAATTGAGCCTGTTTTAAATTGTTCTTTCAAAGACACAAGAGGGTAAAATTTGGTATTAGACGGAAAATTTCTACACATTAACTTTGCTTTGAGCCAAGTTGCAAGTGACGTATTATAACTGATTGTAAAAAAAACCAGGCTGAATAGCTATAGCACAACACATAACCATGATCCAAATTTCGAGTTTGAGGCAAAGGAAAAAGTTTGGAAAAAACTATTTGCCTAATTACTAAAAACTCCTGCCATCTACATCACCAGAGCTTATATCACTATTTTCACCCCCACCTAGTAAAAACTGGGTCTAGCGAAAACTTTTGGCTCGATTTAAACCACCCGTGTTGTTGTTTTTTGCACCCAAACTTTTTTGTCGAAGTTTGATAAGTCGAATACTTTGTTATTCGACGGTACTTTTTGGATAGCACCCAGGCCAAACAAGAAAATTTATATTATTATTACCGTAAAAGATGATAGAGAAAATCCAATTTGCTCAGCATTTTTGAGCGGAACGTCTGAAAACCTCTGGATATGCATTTTGAATTTTCTTCATATCCATTGTGTTGCCAAATTTCATCGGCTTTTTAATCTCGAAAAAGTTATTTCTGATTATAAAACCGGTTTTTTTAGTTGGGACAACTTTTCCACCAACACTTTGCTTTACGACTGCTAATTCTCTTATTTACAAGCGTTTTATCGAGAAATTCAAATCCTTATCGGCAAAACCATAAATTTCAAAAATTTTGCTAAGGATTTTGAGCGGAACGTCTGAAAACCTCTGGATATGCATTTTGAATTTTCTTCATATCCATTGTGTTGCCAAATTTCATCGGCTTTTTAATCTCGAAAAAGTTATTTCTGATTATAAAACCGGTTTTTTTAGTTGGGACAACTTTTCCACCAACACTTTGCTTTACGACTGCTAATTCTCTTATTTACAAGCGTTTTATCGAGAAATTCAAATCCTTATCGGCAAAACCATAAATTTCAAAAATTTTGCTAAAAAATTTAGTGTGGTTTTTTTTTAGCATTTAACGACATGAAGAACCAACTCGCTCCATACCCTTCAAACTCAATCGTTAGTGAGCTGACAGTATACAAGCCTTATATCGATAAACTCGTGATAAACTTTTTAAATAGTTTCAGGTTTAATGAATTTAAAGAGCAGCCGTGGTGGCCCATAAAAAAGAATTATTGCGATTGGAGCAAGCTCTCTACATCATTCACTTGAGAAGTGGAGAAACATCAAAGAACGCTTTCTTCTTTCCAAACAAGTTATCACTAAGCCTGGTTACAGTCTCCAACCCAATACAAAAAATCCAAGCAAAAATGTCCAAACTTGAGCAAAGCTTATCCAAAATCAGAAAATCTAACCTTGTGGCACGATATTGTGAACAACTCAATAACCCACTCCCCCTGAGACCCCAGAACACCACTTACTGCAGAGGAACTGGTAGCAGAGATCCTGAGGTTAAAGAGGGTTATCGGAACTAATTATTGTTCAGAAAAGGAGGAATTGAAGTATACAAGTAGTTAAAAGCGACGGGGGTCCCAGTTTTGCATTTTAAGAACGACCTGCTCCCAAAGAGGAAAAGAAAATTGTGAGAAGACACAGCAATCTACATCTAGATCCCTATCTGGAGATAAAGACTCTGACTATCGTAAGGAAACACGGTAAGGACCTAGAAGGAATAATCAAGAAGAAGCAAACCCGTCCCAGCAGAAAAGAAGAAAAAACAAAAAGCGAAGCGTAGAAAGTCAGTTAGTTTGTAGTTAAATTCTGTTTTTTTTTCTGGTGGACCTAGTGATTAAGTTCCTTGGTCCTGAACAAACATCAAATTGAAATTTCTTCGTCATGGTAAAGATTTGTGAAACGTGTAAAAAGGGTATCCCTACAAATGAGAAGGCCTATTCCTGTGTCGCGTGTAGCTCACAAACGCACATGACTCCTGAATGTACTGCTCTGTCATCTTCTATTTTGAATGGATTGAAGGAAATAAGATTAAATGCAATGCTGCTATGCAATGCCTGTGTGGAAAACAATTAACGGGACAACTTTATCCGTTGCCGGACTCTTGCGAACGCAAACGAAATGATCGCGAACCTTGACGTTGGTGGTGAGTTGAAAAACATGGAGATGAGACTCACTGACTTGTTTGAACAAAAAAATCGGAATTTCTTCGAAGTCAACATACGAGAAAGTGGAACAAACGTACGCTGCCCTAGTCACCGTAGAAAAATTTACGGGGGAATACAAGGGAAAGCGGAACATAAAACGGAATACAGAACGAATCACAACATCAGTCAAAGTTTCAGAAAACAGGGGATCCCCGAGGATCCTACCAAAACCAAAGGAGAAAATCTTGTCCCTACTAAAGATCAAGTAACTGAAAAACTGAGCCAAACCGGAGTAACACCAAAAGCGCTAGAACTCAAACGCCTAGGAAAGCTTAACGCAGAACAGAAAAAACCTAGAACGCTGCTGGTAACGGTTTCCAGCGAACTTGAAGCCAGACTTACGCT